GAATAAAATCGAATTTCGAAAAAAACGCTATATACATTTCTAGATTCAGGTCTTCTCTTTTATTTAAAACAAAAGGTAGCTCTCTACCTCTTCGACAGTCCGAGAAATCGGTACCTTACGAGAACCACCATTTTCAGGGCTAATTTGTCAATAACTCATTAAAACAAGAATTTTATGAGTCAAAAATTTGCAAGAAATTTAGTTAACGCAACACACATATTGCCTGAAAATTTCAGCCAAATCAGTCCATGAATAACGAAAAGCAATTCCTGAGGGGGGAGGGCGTCCCCCCCTTAAATGACCGAAATAAAATGAAGCGTCCGGATGCAGATCTTCCTATCGCAACTAATTCCACACTCATACACACATCCAAAATTCATTCATTTATTTCTATGTTGATAATCAGAAGCCAAAAACTGAACAATAATGCATCGCATAGTAGTTGGTACATATATGTTTATATTCTTTCGTTCTATTTTTTCTTGCTGAAGTACTTCTTTATGATAAATGAAAATGTGATAAATATATATTATGCCCTTTTTCGTCCATTCCTTCTTGACATGTGTGACGTAATGTGGGATGAATCACATCTGTATACATGAGGGCAACGTTCCCATCGAATGGTCTAATAGTCTACTGCTGAAAAAAAAAGAAAAAAGAGCTGAGATCTGTATTCTATTACATGTGAGGTGTCTTTCACACGAATATTATTCAAAGATTCATCGCATTCACATTAGACTCTTATTTTTCAGATTGACAGTGTTTTTTCTTTCTCTCAGCATCCTATGTGTATTGGACCGGCGACAATAACGGTTTCATCTACTCCATCACTCTACGTTTCTCGAACCTTGGAGGCGATGGAATATATTAATGCCATCGAGGCATTGGCTATGACAACTTCAGGCTCTGCTTGCGATGAACAATCACCATCACTGCCAAAATATGAAAACACAGTGTTATCAGATTTAGGTAAATTCAACAGGTGCCCAGTCTCTCTAAATCAAGTACATCTTTTTTCCACTTAGAAGAAAGAAAAAAACAAACAATAGTTTTTCTCTTAACAAAAAAGAAAATTGTCTAAACAGACGATTGATATGTTGAAGGTTGATTATTAATTTCAAGCTTTTCAAATCATAAAATTTTTCAATTTTACGTTTACGTTTCATTGGAAATATTTTGAGCAATAGCTTCAAATTTATGAAGACGAGATTGATTATGTGAACGAGAATTTCCGGATCGAGTCTTTCGTTTAAACTATACAATTTGAAGTAGATGGTTTCTTTTAACTGTTCCAGTTCTTTTTAAATAATTTTTTGTATATGTCAATCGAAATTACTAAAAGACTTTTTCAAAAAGAACATAAAGTCCTGAAAAAGTTACATACGTCAAAACCTGTAGTTTTAAAGAAAAAACGCAGCAATTTTTTCATAGAATCTTGCGAAAAAATAAAAAATTGTCTTGTCCTATAGAATTTTGTTTTTGAAAAGCTTTTCCTATCCGGTCCTATGCTTTATCCCTACGAATCCCTGATTGACATAAATTAGTAGTTAATCATCATTTAGAACTTTTCAGATTCAATGAATCCATTACGTACACCAACTTGCGACAATGAAGTAAGAAATATTGTACGACCATTTGTTGTATCAACCCTGAACAATTGCTGCACCCTATTTCTAACACTAGTTAACAATGTTTTGTGTTCATCTTTATATAAAATGAGTAAGTCTAGTATAATATAATATAATATTAATGCTTTTATTCTATTGAAACATGGTATCACAAGAAGATGAAGTTGGTTGTCTTCAAAAATCAAATTGAAGATTTTTGAATCCATCATCGAATAAGTACAAAACGATCAAACTTCTCTCTGATGACTCTCAATAATAAGAACACAACTCTCGAGTATCTTAAAAACCAACTTGATTATTTACAAGAAAAGCTTGATGAAGTACAAAAAGAAATGAAAATCTTCAAACTCAATAGTATATGAGAAAACAAATTATGGGTAAATGACATATCATTATATTTTTAAAATCACTCATCATCAGAATTCTTTTATTAAGTTTCCATGCAAGTTATCATAATATCCATTAAGTTGTACGTTATTTCTAATCTATAGAAAGTAATATCTGTCGATGTATTTTATGAAAACATTACTTTTTTAAAATTTCTAGATGAAAGAAATTGTCTTGGCTTTTATTTTGTTACAGAGATAATTCTTTCCTTAAACTTTTTTTAATCATTAACTTCGTGATTTTCTTGATTTTTTGTAATTAACATAATCATGGTTTTTGTTGATTTTTTTTGTAATTAACGTAATCATGGTTTTTGTTGATTTTTTTTGTAATTAACATAATCATGGTTTTTGTTGATTATTTTTGTGCAAGTATCCGTTTATATTTTCTCATCGCCACAACACGAAACGCAAAGCTAGGTGATAAAACGAGGGAGAATATATAAAAAATGAAATGTATGTGATGATAAGCACATTGATACAAAAAAGTTTGTGCACTTGATGAAAAAGTTATGCTTCATTGATTCACGTAAACATACGTTGGCTGATAAGACCCAACTAATGTTATCAGGGATAAATACAGAGTAAAATCAATTGCAAGCACAAAAGGTTTATACACTCCAGTATCATCTAGCACATAAGCTTAACGAGCTGGAAAAAGTGTCAAAAAAATAACAAACAATTTTTTATTTATGTGACGACATCTCCGTTATTGTATCCATTTATTGATTCATTTGTCATGAGCAAGCAACAGTCGACAATAACTGCTGCTACTGAACCAACAAAGATGACCACCACGACCAATAGTTCTGCTGTGCTGTCCCGACCTGCTCGTCGAGTTCTTGAGAATTTTCTTGTGATTTGGCTTGACGCTAATTTTGACGAATCCAAAGGTGTCTATAAAAAAGCAATGCAGCATCTACAACATATTGTAGCAATGATTGCAATATTTATAGATGTAGACTAATGTATTGATTTTCTCACTGACATTCAAGATGAAAAAGTATTCTTGATTGTGTCTGAGGCACTGGGACAATGTATAATACCAGAAATCCAAGAATGTCCGCAACTAGATTCCATTTATGTTTTCTCTGACAATCAATCGATTTATGAACAATGTACCAAAACTATACCTAAAGTAAAAGGTGCGCACACAGGAATTGAACTGATTGGTGAAGTATTACAAATCAATCGCGAACGTTGTGATCGAGCTATGATTTCGATCAGTTATTATGGTATCGATCCATTGTTTAGGTATACGCAATTATTAAAAGAAACGTTTTTGGAAATCGAAGATGACGATATAAAATCCATTAAAGAACTCGTTGACTATTGTCGTCTTCAAGGTGATCTTGCTGAAAGTCATATTGATAAGGTCGAACAAGAATATCGTCATCAAACATCCATTTGGTGGGACACGGCTCCATATTTTATATACTCGATGCTCAATCGTGGCCTTCGAGTAATGGACGTTGATATTATGCTCAAAATATTTTTTTTTATTCGACACTTACATGAACATATTAAAACACTACATCGTGACCAACAATCTGCCAACACTATTCCCTTTCAAGTTTTTCGGGACCAAGGTTTATCACTGGAAAATTTTGAAAAAATGAAAAAAGCCAAAGGTGGGCTTATGTCATTCGACAATTTTCTTTCCACTAGTCGCAATTGCAATGTGTCTCTGGAAATTTTTGCACGACCAGTAGCACTCAACAATGATCCCAATTTAGTTGGCATACTCTTTGTTATGAACATCGATCCAAGCCTATGCGCAACATCATCAATACTCTTGGTCGACGTGAAAAACGTGGCTTACTTTGAAGGTACAGAGGAAGAAATTCTTTTTTCAACACATACAATATTTCGTATCGATCGAATTGAACGAATCCATGGCGACCATACTGATCGCCTATGGCAAATTAACCTTACCCTTGTTGGTAACGATAATCATGATCTTAGCACACTTACAGCACATATACGTCAAGAGTTCGATGGTACAACAGGATGGTCTCGACTAGGTCATGTTCTTAGAAATGTGGGTGAGTTTGCAAAAGCAGAACAACTCTATCAGATCTTTCTCGGAAAAGCATCCTCTGATACAGATAAAGCATACTGCCGTCATCAACTTAGCTGGTTTTATAATGATTTGGGCGAGTATTCGAAAGCACTTAAATATTACGAAAAAGCACTTGATATCGACCAAAAAGCTCTTCCTCCGAATCATCCCGACTTGGCTTCTGACCATAATAACATCGGCTCTGTGTATGATGCCATGGGTGAGTACTTGAAAGCACTTTTATCGTACGAACGATCACTTGAAATAAAGAAAATATCTCTTTCTCCGAATCATCCCGCCTTGGATATAGAGACATGGGCGAGTACTCGAAAGCACTTTCATATTACGAAAAAGCCGAAGAAATCTGGAAAATGTCACTGCCGTCATTGCATCCGCGTATTAATAATTTGAAAAGAAACATTGAAAATGCAGAGAAAAAATGTAATTGTTTTTTTCTAAACGAGAAAATAAATTGATCTTCTTGAAAAGTTAGCTTGCTGAAACGTACCAGTTACAAAATTTCGCATCCGCGCGACTATGAACACCCTCCGTATTCTGCTGGTTTGTAAAGTAGACAAAGCCGGCAATAGTGGACAAACATAGATCTATGTATGTATGACCGTTACATCAATAATCATCATCATCTCAAAGAGAGATGACGATAACGAAATGAACGATTTAGTCATACATACATAGATCTATGTTATGAAGGCTTCTTAGATGCACGCCTCTACATGTGGCAAGAGGAAGTCGGACGTCTCTGACAGGGCTAATTTGTTTAAGCCACCCCACGAGTTCATTATGTGAAAGATTTAATGCTCCTCGGTTACAAGAACGAGATGAGGAAGAGACGGAAGACAGAATTACAAGTGCAAAAATACAATGTTATGGAGCGTAACACAGCGTACGCTAACGGTCGGTTGCCGTAAAAGAAAAATTGGGTGCATGATATCTTATCTGTCATTACACATATCATCTTCTTGTTCATTGTATTGTTTTAAATGAGTATATAAGCCAGGATAGCAAAGTAGTCGTGCACCAATGACGGAGTGTATAAGAACCGTTCATATGTAATGCATCTCTTAGTAGATGTCAGGAAAGAAAGAAAAAAGTTGATGTAAACAAGAGTATTAATAGATTTCGTTATTCATTCATTGAAATGTAGTGATAGTATTAGACGACGAAAGTATGTTTCATTTCGAATCATATCGTTCTTTTTTTTTGTAAATTCAAAAAAGAAAAGATTTATTATAATTTTAAGAAAGACAAGAAGATTTATAGTCAATGTTCCTAATTAGAACAGTGTTTTAGAAGCTGCGAGAAACTCCTCTTTTACTTAGAATTCGCCTAAATTTAAAAAAAATATTTTTCCAT